TCTCTTTGTCGGAGCCGTCTCTGTAACTGGAGATGGCGGTGGCAGGTGGCCGTTGAAGTGCGGCTGTCAAGCGTTAGATCCCAAGTCAGTCAGGTGCGCCGCCCCTGGATACGGACTCCTTCGGTGTTAGGCACGGTACGGTTGTTCTGTTCGTCGTCCTGGAGGCGAAGTGCTAGAGTGGTGAGCGAGGTGGTCTTGGGTTCGGATAGAGGTGTGTCCCGAACTGCCATGGGGCAGGCCAGTTCGGGTTGTTGCCCTTTGTGTTCGTAAGGCTCGGGGCCTAAGGGAGAGCTCGGGCTCCTTACGGGGAGTTCGGGCTCCTTGTAGGTAGTTCGGGCCGCTGGTTCCTCCTTTCGGAGCTCGCGCCTTGGGCGTACTGTTGTGCCGAGCTGTTGCCTTTGCCACATGTTGAGTGATTACAAGGTCGGGCCAAATCTTCCTTCATCAGGAGATGTTCCCAATGCACGGTGGATGTGCATCTGAGGCGCCCCCGTGTGAGGAGCAGATCCCGTTCTGTAATTAAGTAACACAAAGAAGCCTAGATTTCAACCTTAGGGGTAATTACTTCTGTCCCAAACCAGACCCGACTATTAACAGCTCTATTGACACTGGGTTAGTCTTCGAAACATTGATGTATTCAGTGGTATAACCAAACATCAAATCTCTCCCCATGAAAGGAAAAAGGAAGTTCATTTAGTCTGTGTTTGGTGTGACAGAAACCTTATTCAACTTTCTGTTTCTCTCTTATTTTCTGTCAAACAAAACACAGTCTTACTGTTGCATGGGCCGCATAGCCATGTCTTAGCCACAAGGCAGCCCTTGCAGCAGTGAATTAACTAGAAATGGGCCGAGGATTAGCTGCACCTTTCAGGCATAACATCTCTGAAATGAGAGTAAGAATAATTGATTTACTGAAGCATGCATATACAGAGAGTATTCATCACAGAATTCATTCACGTAGTAGTCCTTAAGAGCTGGCTTTGTGAGCAAGACTAAAAGCTCAATAACACAGCCTTAGCAAAAGCACCAATTAACTAAATACCTCATCTTTATTAGTTCACTTTCACTAGTCCTTACACATTAGTAGAGCTAGTAGTACATGTAGTGGGTACACAACATAACACAGAGACTAACATGATCAATTTCTAGTAAATACTGCTGTAGTGCCTAGGACTAGGAGAGCTGGAGAGGTACTGAGGTAGTAGCAGCACAGACTATAACATGAGCGGTTCACAAAAGCTAGCAGCGGTGTGGTGGCCCGTGCGGCTCACCCGGACCAGGCGGATGTGGATGGGGACCCGGCGGACCTGGTGGCGGTGCATGGGGAGGCGGAGGGCCTCCATGAGGAGGACCAGGAGGGTGTGCATGTGGTGGCTCATGGTGAGGTGGCCCGTGAGGCGGATCTTGTGGATCTTTGGGTGGAGGGTGATGCATCTTCTTCTTCTTCTTCTTCTTCTTCTTCTTGGTGATGTTGTAAAGATTAACAGGGGTGGTTGCTTATATAGTGTTTCAAAGGAAAGAGAGATATGGTGAATCAGGCCATGCTTTTCTGTGGTAGGTTTTATCTGCAATTCATGGATAGATCCAGAATATCTTTTTAAGGATGAGTCAATTCATTGGAAATGTGTAGGTGAACATGATTTGCACGTGAGCATTACCAACCATTCAACGCTTTTCTTAGTTCTGGATATAGACCATTCATTCAGTAGTTTTCAGTTCATTTGTCATTCAAAATATCTACATGGTGCATTGGGTCTGTTCTGCTACTGCTAATCCGATTGCTTAGTGATAAGAAGCCTGTTAATTAGCCCAACCTAACCCATATGGATCTTCACAAGAGCAACTTATTTTGGGGCTAATGAAAAACAATGAGAAAACTAATGTAGTTTCTTCAGTCAAAGCAATGAGAAAGCTAGATGCCTAGATGAACAGAACAGATAGAGATCTGTGTAGAAACAGACAAGTACCACAGAGAGATCTGTCTAAGAAGGGTTCTCTCCCTTCAATCACCACTTGTCCCATATATTTAGGGGATGTTTGGTATGTGGCTGTTTCTACTTGAAAAAGTGCCACATCAGCAGCATATTAGCATTTTGATTTTAATGATTTTTTTTTAATTTGGTTGAGACTATTTTGAGTTAAAACAGTCGTAAAACATTTCCACTTGAAACCTATATCAGGGGTGTTTCAATAAACATCAATTTGATGTTTTTTTCTTTTAAGGTGTGTTTGGTTTGAAAGAGAAGGTAGGGCAAGGAAGGGAAACTTAACAAACCTTGTATAAATTTCTACCTTTCCCTACTTTTTCTTTCAAACCAAATACAGACTAAAGAGGAAAAAGTGCCATTTGGCAAACCTTTTTTGAAAGATCTTTCAGCAGATTTGATAGACAAAAGAGGATGTGAGCTTTTGCATTAAGATCTTAATAGCTTGAAGACCATTTGGTTAAGGCATGTCTACCTGTGCGAAGATGCGATGAAAAAAGTTGAAAAACTCCATTTGAAGCTTTCTGATATTAGCCCAAAATGAACTTTGTGCATCTTTTCGGGGCATCATCTTTTGGCGGTTAGATATTTTTCCAATCAAATAAGAAAAGACTAAAACGCAGGCTGCCGGGCTTCTAAACAACCGACAGCCTGCACGAAAAGACATGCCAAACAGGGCCCTGTGCCCTGACTGATGTGACACTGAAGTGCTGATATGGATGAGAAAACGCATTTTCACCAAACACCAAACAGGATTTAAAGTACAAACAGTGGTGTTTTGTGTTTCAAGTATGAATGGTGTTCGAACTCAATCATTTTTGGAGTTTCAAGAATACCCTAATCGCCATTAGATTGGAAGGTCTAGCTTTCTACTATACTAGAATCATTTGATTGTGTTGATTTTGGACCTAAGCATGTAATTATTGATCAGAGTGGGACCTATCCGATGGAGGCATTGCTGTTTATGATGGAGGGCCTTCATTATAGCACTGCTCTTGTCTTATAGAGTGTGAAGTTGTCTATTAATGATGGGGTTCTAATTTGAACCACTAATCATCTAAACTTTGTTATATCGTAATTAATCTCTCTCAGGGAATTACTGAACTAGAATTTCTTGTTTGGGAGTGCAAGTAGAACTTATAGCTTTAAAAATAAAAATGCCAAACGAGTAAAGATCATAGACAGAGAGGTTTAGGGCCAACCCAAAATTTACACGGGCAGGACTTAAGCCCGGTTTTTCATTTTTCAGGCGGGGCCTAAGGCTAGCCATTTGATAGCCCGTAGCCCCAATCCTGGTCCAGCCCAAACTCAACTAAGTATATTATGCATGGATAATAATCATATCCATCAATGTTTTAAAAACCGACCGGAGGCTGAATTGTTCTTGCCTCCGGGTCATGGGTCATCAGTTGACCATCTGGGTCGAATGGGTCAATGGTCCAATGATCCAAGTTGAACAGTTTTTGACTAATCACTAGGTTTTAAGAGAACCGGACCCAGATTCATCATCGATGTTTTAAAAACCGACCGGAGGCTGAATTGTTCTTGCCTCCGGGTCGTGGGTCATCAGTCGACCATCTGGGTCGAATGGGTCAATGGTCCAATTATCCAAGTTGAACAGTTTTTGACTAATCACCAGGTTTTAAGAGAACCGGACCCAGATTCATGGCCAGTGGATGGTTCAAATGGTTTGACCGGCCAGGTCAATGGCAGATTTAAAACATTGATATACATTATTCTTATTTAATGGTTTAAATTACTGATGTTAGACATAGGATTGGGGCCAGTTTTTAGGCTTGGGTTGACCTTAACTGGCTCAATTTAAGTAGAAACAATGAGCTAGGTAATTATATCCCTTTTTTCTTCTCTTCTACCAACATTTTTTTTTTCTGATTTTCAAAAGATTCATTAGGTGTCATTCATAAAAAAAAAAAAAAGAAAAAAAATCACAAAGTGTCAAAAGGTTCACAAGTGAGGCTTATCAAAAATTTCCCATTCCCTGAATGGATGTACACTTATACAAATTTCCTATGGTTTACCTGCGCTTTTTTCCTCTCTGCTTCTTACCTCCTTTCTCTGCTTTCCAGCCCGTTTTCTCTTTTTTCCTTCAGTAGTAACATCTGTATGATTGTCTCTATCTCTAGATGTAGCAGGTCGCAAAAGATGCTTCACATCCAATACACCATTTCTAAAATAGCCCTCACTTGACTTCAGCACCCTGTCCTCTGTCTTGTGCTTCTCTGCTGCTTTATTAGAACTCGCATGCTTATGTCCAAAGTGTCCAAGAATCAAGCCCTAATACAAGTACAAATTTCAGCACCATAGATTTGAATGATCATGATTTATTACTTCATTAGAGAACAAATAAAAGCCAATCCCATAAACCACATCAATTACATCTTCAAGCATTTTCTGTTCTCTTTCTTTTTGTTTCTTCATGGTCACTCTTGCTACACTTAGTGGTACTCTATGTTTCTTTTGAGGCTGTGCCATCAATGAGTAAACTTCAAATTAAGACAATGTAATTGCATCGGCAGGAAAGAATGGAAATACACAAAGTTTTCACCTTTCCACCCAACTGCTCAGCTACCCTCCGATTCTCCATGTGTTTCCTCTCTTTCCATGTCATGTCAGAGGTAACTAAACCAATAAAATGTTTTAAATGAATAATTAAAAAATAATAGAAGACATACTGCTTAAGTATTGGCAATGTATACAGTCAAAAGAAGATGCAAGCATGATGTATTGGCTGTATTGATGCCTTTTTCTATTTATTTAATTGTATACTAATCAGTGGTCATTCAAGTAAATCTATCAGGGTGATGCCTAGGTGACAAAGCTTTTTTTTTTTTTTTTTTTTGTTTTTTTTTTGGGGGGGGGATCAAATTATGCCTTGACTTGTGTTTCAATGTAAGAGGAAAATTCTAGGTTTAGTGCAGCCAAAATCATGCCATATTTGTATAAATTATGGTAAAGAAGTGTAAAAGGGAGTCCTAAAATACCAATTTTCAATCTACTAGTGTAAGAGAAATAAATCCAATCAGGGTCCTCTAAAATAGGGGTGTTAATAACCCTAATAGTATAGATTTGGTATACACATTCTCTGGCTTGGGCCAGATTTGGTTTGTAAAGTGCTGACCCATGTCAAGATTGGGGTAGGGTAGGTTATGGCTTCCCCAATTAGTCAGGTCATTTACCCATGCATCTTACTATTATTGGTTAGAAATATAAGGACCTTTTGGTAATGCTACCTAACATAATTAGTGCAAAACATTGGTAAATCATATATAATTCTTAGTTCTTTTGTTTCTCACTTTATTGTTCCCTCTTCCATCTGTGAAAGGTTGACACAGAACATCTCAATCCTCATGGTAATTTCTTAACTCAAATTTCTTATTGTATTTCTTTATTCTTGATAGTTGAGTTCCAGTTTCTCTCCATTGTGATTCTATTATTCTAAAGGGAAAGTCGCTCGTCATTCATAGATGGAAATGGAAGTTACAAATGTAGAGTTTGGCAGCTTGAAAGAATTCCCCCTATATCAATTTGTTGGATAATGCTGCTAGAGCTGAGGCCTATGCACCAAAAGGACTTAATAAGGACTTTAAATTTCTACCATTGTCTTGAAACCCAACCATACTTTTGTTATATGTTCTGTTGCATTGAAGTGATTGAACAATTATGTTATATATGACAATATAAAGTGTATACCCCACTTCTACAAGAGACTTTAACACATGAAAAAAAAACATTATGTTGACCTCCTATATTCTTTGTCCACTATAAAAAAACCATGTACAATGTTTTTGCCTTCCTGTTTATTTCTGAAATATAAAAGTGAGCATATAGATGCTAAAAATTAGCCACATGATACTCATGCCAATGGGACATCATTTAAATCAAAGAGTCATACCTTTGATGGTCCAATTTTAAGATCACTAATTACAATCAGAGGGTGGAACCATAGTAGGTGTAGGTCCATAGAAGATTCTTCAATTGCCTTCCTCAAATTCATCCATCCCACCTTTTCTCTTTCCCTCTAGAATCAAAACCCCCTATATTTTTTGGTTTATCCTCTCATCTTTTTATTTTCTTAGAGGTAACTAAGAATTAGGGGTGGATTCGAGCCGAGCCGAGCTGAATAGTGTGAGGCTCAAACTCGGCTCGAGACTGTTCTACAAGGCTCGAGCTCGGTTCGAGCCAGAACCTTGAGCTTGAGCTTGAGCCCGGCTCGGCTCAAGCTCGATTTTGAGAAAAAAAATTTTATAAAAATAAAAATATTTTTTATTTGATATTTAAAAAATTAAGAATTATAATAATTAATAATTATAATATTGTATATATATATATATATTCGAGCCAGCTCGAGAGCCTCACGAGCCGAGCTCTAGTAGGCTCGAGCTCGGCTCGTTGCCACCCCTACTAAGAATATTATATTAGTTCACAAAAAAAAATGTGGGATACACTTGAAGAATTTATAAGAATGCACAACATATGAACAGCCAGTAAGGCAGTCAATCCCTAAAAAAAAAAAAACTCAGCCCAGATTTGGCTAAACCACCTGCTTTTGAATTTCAATCCTTCAGTATCCAGCTAATCCGAACTGCTCTTCCAGTGGTTGATTCTCTTAGTTCGTTCAAGACATGTGCAACTCTCCAGGGTCTGCTACCAACTATTAAGCCCCATCTGATTACACTGTCTGAATCAGATGAAGGAGAGGTAACTAGAAGAAAGAAGGTTAAGAGTTCTATCCCTTAGGTATTTCCCTTTCAGCAAGCTGCAAGAGACTATGTATCCACAAAAGGGCCTCCCATAAGAAGGAGATACTCAATGGAACAGTGGGGAGTCAAAGCCTTTTCTCTACAAAAGCACAATCATTTTGGTTCTCTGTAATGGTAAGAAAGAAGGATTCAACATGAAAAATCCAGAAGAGAACTCATCTTATCGTCAACAATCTTAAAAGATAACCTTTAAGACTACATCTCCACTCTGCTAAAACTCCCCTGTTTTTTTCCCTTGAACAAGTGCAGGATTTCATCACAGCCTATACCTGGATGCCTGAACATGGGTTCCATATGCTTGAGATTATAGTGCAAGTTTCATCCAAGATTTTAAAGTATCAACATGATACACCCTGTATTGGGCGTATTGTATCATACTAGCAAGCCACTAATATCTAAATACAGAGAATTTGGGATTTTGGGCATTTTCAGGGCATAGCAGGCCTAAAATCAACTCCCTGACCAATTTTGGGTAAAAAGAACTCAAAAAAAAATAATAATTTGTGGTATCGAAACATCGGGAGTATTGAAACTTTAAACCATGACTCCATCCAACATTTTGGCATCTGTGTCCTTGTTGTACTTGGGTAACTTGCATTTCCACTGCCTCCGTGGACATTATCCAGCATTTTGATAATTCATGCTTCCACCAAAATGGAATCTAAGATCTTCTCATTCCATCATGCAAATAGCAACCATTGTAGCATACCCCCCATGTGATCGATCTTAAAAAAAAAAAAATCACCATATTTTTTCACTATCAAGAGACCAAATCCCTTGAACCACTAGCTTTGAGCCCATCCACGCAGTTCTTTTTTACCTTTTATTCTATTACTTGCTTTAATCCAGGTTATTGTCCTTTTAATAACTCCATGATTAACTTCATAATCTGCCAATTCAAACTAGAATAATAGGAAATCATTTACTAATTTCACATCCTTACTCCAACAATTCACTCAGTCCATTTTCTATATCCATAAGAACTTTGGCTTCCATAATTTCTATTCAAAATTTAAACGGAGAACAACATTTCATGAGCAAGAAGATAAATCCCCTAATTTAAAATTATTTAAAGGAGTAGAAGTATAAGAACGTGCAGCTTATTCATAGAAGTTACCAATTTTACTGAGAAGGGAAAAAACAATTTGGTAATAGTTGCTCCTCTCCAAGTCCAAATACGCACACACACACAGACAATGGGTTGATTCAGTTATCTAAATCTGGAAACTATAAACATTTAGTGTACAATTGAATATGCAAAAATCACAATAAAGCAATAGGGAATTAAAGAGGGAGGTAGTTCAGTACCTAAGTACTCAACGTCCTTCATTATCTGCCTAAAGTCCGGTCTTCTGTCCGCTGAATCCGTACCAACTGAGGAGGATGATACTCCTTTAAATATTGATTTCTTTCTCTTATTCATCTCCACCAGGTTCGACTTAACTGCCAAATAAACACGATAATATATACAACAGCAATTCAGGAAGGCACTAATCAATTCATAACGTGATGCTGCCGATATTGAACTTCAAGAGAGAGCATAACAGGGGAAAAATTTTCGAGAGAGAACGGTGCTTGCAGCTACCTCGACTTCTGGAGTCCACCGAAAACGAACAAAGGGCAGAGATGCAGAAAGCAAGAAACCGAGGGCAGGAGGATTAACAGATCAAATCTGTTTCGACCCGGTGATTATATGCCAAATCCAACCCGATCTGGCGATCTCTGTCCCGCAATGAAAGGCGGGGCAAGAGTCAAGAAAAAAAAAAAAAAAAGAGCAAGCGCGCCAGCGAGAGAATATATGCTAATTTGGAAAGATCACAAGGACAAATTCATTATAAATACATATTTTCATGCACCAATCGAGGGTTAGGCTCGTTGGTGTGTTGCTGGTTTGTTACAGGCAATTCAAAGTATCGATACGTACCGGCTGATACGTATCGTGCCGTGGCTTTCGGATACATCTCTACAGGTTTTGACTAGTTCAGAGGGTGGAGGAGTCTTAAATTGGCCCCCATGAATCGGTTTTGAAAAAAAATAAAAAAAGCAAAGGAAAAAAACTATCGATATTGCCTGATACGCCCTTATTGGCATATCAGGTGTATCAATATTTTGAACCTTGGTTATAATGTTGATGCCGAATCGAATTTCGTAATGTGCACCTTGAGGAAAAAGGGGTCACCAAATATCAACAAAAATCGAATCCCGTATTTGCATTTATAGAGTGCAAAACCTTGTATTTGTATTGTATTCTTTTCGAATTGAGCTTGGGGTGTTCAACAAAAACCAAAAAATCTAACCAAATAAAAAAATCTGGTTTTATATGCATTTTATATTAATATAAATATATTTTAGTAGCAAAAATAAATAAATACATATTATATTTTATGTTTATTTATATTAGGTATTTGTATATTTATTTATAATATATTGTAAGTATAAAAACCTGAGAAATTGAAAAATAAAATCACAAAAAATTGAATTGATCAACCAATTGGTTTTTGTTTGGTTTCAGTAAAAACTGATGGTACCTATTTGGTTTCAAAAATAGCCCACAATTGGGTAAGGCTGCAACTTGGGCCGAGTTGGCCCGAATCCAACCCTAACTCAACTGAAAAAGTCGGGTTGGGTCAACCCGAACCCAATTATATAGTACATATCATATATAAATATATGTTATATATGGTATCATACATTGATTTGCTTATATGTATGATAGTTGTATGGCCCCTACTACATACTATCATTTATTTCTTTTAAAATAATCACTTCACTTAATCCTAATTGGAAATACCAAAACCTTAAAAATATTTTTATGTTTTTTGAATATTTTATTTGTTATCTCCTCTTTGTTGTTTGGAACCCATAGCTTACTACCCATAAAAGATCTATTATAAGTTATGACTCATAATAAACTATAATCATTTCAAACTTTTTTTTTTGAATTTTGTATTTAAAGAACTAATAAAAACAAAAACAAACAAATACTAATAAAACGAGACCGAATCATCCCCCCACAACGTTTCACGGCACATCCCCACCGTGTATTAAGAACATCTCCCAATGATGACACCATCATTCCTGATATTATCATCAGGAGATGTTCCTAATGCACGCCAAGAATGTGCTATGGGACGTTGTGGGGAGTAGTTTTGTGGGGGCTGATTTGAACTCTAATAAAACATAGGATTAATATATGTAGTGAAAATTGAGTTAAAATCTGAGATTAAGAAGTTCTACGAGATCAACCAAATATGGCTTGATTCTATTGACTAAAATTTTGGAAATAATTTTATAGATCACATTGCATAAGTTGATTGGACGAAAGCTATTCACAGTTTCAGGATTGTCAATTTGTGTATCAAAGTGATGAAAGTTCTATTTACAACTCTATTTATCTTCCTTGAGTGGAAGAAAGCCTTAATAGCATCACAAATTGAGTCCCCAATCACATTCCAAAAATTTTTTGAAAAATAAAGCATTAAGACCATGTGGCCCAGGGGCTTTCATGTCATTAATAAAAATAAGGGTTTTATAAATTTCTTCATTAGTGATTTCTCTAGTAATTTCAAGATTTATCTCCTCCGCCACACAATGTTGAATATCACTAACGAAACTTTCAACCCTGCAAGTTCCTCCGGATTTAAACTAATTAGGCAATTACATAAAGCCTATTTAAGAAAAATTGAAACCATAAAGATTTCAATTGTGCACCTCACATCTGTGAAGCTTGGGACCTTTGCTAAGCTCACCACCCCGAATTGATAACTGCATGTCAACTTCTCTCACAAGTTGGTTGTGCTTCTAGACAGTCTTACCAACCTTCTCCTCCACATAGCTCGTGATGGTATCCTTATGATTCTTGAAACTTTTCATCGGTTGGTTTTATTTTGAAAATTCAAAGAACAATGGAGGGCAAATTGAACATTTCGTTATTTCATTAGTGCTTAACAGCAACCACAACTGTTAGAAACCTTGAGAGTACTAGATAGAGCTAGTCAATTTCCTAAACCATAGGGGGGACTATAAGAAATTTGCCCTTACCTAAATTACCATAATTAATTCTCCAAATATCCAAAATTACAATAATTAGACTACCAAACATTACCAAAAATTAATATTTTTAGGTAAATTAATATACGAAATCACCAAAATTAATATAACAAAATGTATCACAAATTTAATTTTCCATATAACAAAATTAATCACCAAAATTACCAAAAATAAAGTAAAAATTTTCCAAAATTATCTAAATTACTTCACTATCATAAATTAATAACTTACCAAAATTAACAAAATCAATAAATTAATAATTTCACAAAAATACCAAAATTATTCATTCATAAATTAGAAAAATAATAATTTTATTAATCTTTAATTTACCAAAATAAATCAAAATCGATTTCATGAAATTAATTTTTGGGAATATAACAAGATTGATAAATTAATTTATTAAAATTCATTATGAAATTTACCAAAAGTAATTTTCACAAATTAATTATCTCCAAATGAATTTACCTAAGTTATTAAATTAATAAAATTATTATTTGATTGTTTGGCCCTAAAGCCATCTAGGCAACTCTTTCTATTTCATCCATGAATCGTTCCTATCCCAAAAACTGTTAACTTAATCAGCAACCCATTGATCCAATCGGTTGAAGTCTAGGTGTAAGCCCCAGCCCAAGTCTACACGGGCCTGGGCCAAGCCAGGCCTGATTCTGGGTCAATGTCTTTCATATATAAAACATTAAGGATCTATAATATTTTATATTAAATGACATAACATGCATATAAACTTTTATTTTATATATTATATAATATAAAATATTACACATAATATAAATTATACATATCATGTTATAATATTTATGTATAAAACATAATATATTGTAAAATAATATGTATACATTATACACAAAATGTGTAAAGGTCGGGCTTGAAGTATTAAGCCCAAACTCGGCCCTAAAATTTGTGGGCCTGGGCCCATGCCGAGTCTGAACACAAAACCTAGGCCCAAGCCCAAAATTTCCAAATCAGGCTTGTGCGGGCCAGACTGAAATGATCATCCCTACGTTGAACCATCAACTTATTTGATCTAGACAACGGTTTTTTATCATTTTTTTTTATTTTTAAATTTTCACATTACAACATAATATTTAATCAAACCAGACAGTAATTGAACGGCTTACCCAAAAACCAGTGGCCAAAGCGGTTACAAGTTCCAACTTTTCCAAGCAACTAAAATAAAAATATCAAAAATAATGGTATGTGGACATTTTAGTAATTAAGCAAAAGAAGTCTCTAATTCCTGTTCGAACTTTTCGAAAGGAAGAGATGTGACGCTTCTCGATGCTATTAATACTGAAAAGTATCAAAGAAAATATCTTTGTTGCCTCGTTGGAATGTCGAATGGGCTTTCTGGTTTTATCCGTTTCAGGTAGACTTCGTACATCCTTCATGTATATGTGCATCTGCTGTTATAATCTCTATTCGATTGATCCGATTCATGATCTTAGTTGGTAATGGTATACTGTTCTTTCCTCCCGCAACCGCTATTTTTTTCAGTTTTCTTTTCTTGGAAAAGTTGCAATTTCTCACTTATACGCCATAAAAGATATTTGAACGATTTTGGGATTTTCTGGAGTTTTCATCCCTACCCTTTTGAATTAAAAGGCATTGATTTCTTCTTCTGTTTGGCTGACTGAATTCTTCTGACGGTGGATCCAGAAAGCCGTCTATCTCTTTTTAATAATTTCCGACTCTGAAATAATTAAAATTCGGTGATTAGAACTATAAATGAATTTGAATATGGGTTTATGATTTGGGTTGCGTTAAATTCTGGTTTTGGTATCGATATCATCCATTCGCGGATGGGAAAAAAAGAAAAAAGTGGTTTTCTTTCTAAATTAGGATGGTTATTTTTATGAGGAATTTATGGAGATTAGATTCAAAAAGCACGATATGGCCCTTTGTCGAGTTCTACTGTTTCTCTTCCGAATAAAAAGGGAATGAATTTTGATTTTGTCTGAGGAAGTTTTTGTGTGGATAAAAGCAACATTTTAATTGTTGACACTGTCAAATTTCTAGTATTAAAAGAAACGTTATCATCCATCCATAATTGGGTACGATTTGTAAGGGATTATGCAAGGGTTCTTATCCTGTATTAATATTAAAATATGGGTTTTTCCATGATTCCAGGTTGAAGCAATTTTCTTTCGGTTTTGGGAAGGAAGAAGAATCTTGTTTCAATGGAGGATTTACCAGAGCACTTAGCCTGGGACATTTTGGGTAGGCTTAAGAAAACTGCAGACCGGAATTCCACTTCTTTAGCATGTAAACACCTCCACAAATTGGAGAGAGAACAGAGGGATTTTCTTAGGGTTGGTTGTGGATTGGATCCTGCAAATGAAGCCTTAACTTCTCTGTGCAATCGGTTCCCCAACTTGAAGAAAGTTGAAATTATTTACTCTGGTTGGATGTCCAAATTAGGAAAGCAATTGGATGACAGGGGCCTTCTCATACTTTCTCTGCATTGTCCTTCTCTAGTTGACCTGACCCTGAGTTACTGTACCTTCATTACTGATTGTGGACTCGGCCATTTAGCTTCTTGCACAAAGCTTACAACTTTGAAGTTGAATTTTACCCCAGGGATCACTGGTTGTGGCATATTGTCTCTGGTTGTGGGTTGCAAGAACCTGACCACACTCCACCTAGTCCGTTGCATAAACGTCAGCAGTGTTGAGTGGTTAGAGTACCTTGGAAAGCTTGAGACTCTGGAGGACCTATCAATCAAGAACTGTAGAGCAATTGGGGAGGGAGACCTTGCCAAGCTTGGACCTGGTTGGAGGAAACTGAAAAGGTTGCAGTTTGAGGTTGATGCCAATTATAGATACATGAAGGTGCGTGATCGATTGGCTGTAGATCGGTGGCAGAAGCAGTGGGTTCCCTGTGAGAATATGCAGGAGCTTAGCTTGGTTAATTGCCTCATCAATCCGGGAAGAGGGCTTTCTTGCATATTAGGGAAGTGCAAGGCCTTGGAGAAGCTCCATTTGGATATGTGTGTAGGAGTCAGGGACAGTGACATTGAGAGCTTAGCCCAGAATTCGACAAACCTCCAATCTATCTCTCTTCATCTCCCATCAGATTTCTCATTGCCTTTGTTAAACAATCCATTGAGGTTGACAGATGAGAGTCTGAAAGCAGTGGCTCAGAACTGTCCTGTGCTTGAATCAGTCAAGATATCATTCTCGGATGGTGACTTCCCTTCCTTCTCTTCATTTAGCTTAAATGGCATTCTTACTCTGATCCAAATGTGTCCAGTCCGAGTGTTGATCCTTGACCATGTCTACTCCTTCAATGACAATGGGATGGAAGCTCTCTGTTCTGCCAACTTTCTTGAGACTCTGGAGCTTGTGAGATGCCAAGAGATCAGCGACGAGGGTCTGCAACTCGTGGGACAGTTTCCACAATTGACTGTTCTTACACTTTCGAAGTGTTTAGGTGTAACGGATGATGGAATAAAGCCGCTTGTGGGATCACACAAGTTGGAAGTGTTGACAGTGGAGGACTGCCCTCAGATTTCTGAGAGGGGTATCCAAGGGGCTGCAAGGTTTGTTTCATACAAGCAAGACTTGTCATGGATTTACTGAAGTGAAACCTTCCCTGCTTCAATTTCGCATAATTTGTTGGTCTAGTTTCCATTTTATCCAAAATGAATTATTGTCTCCTGGGAAGCTTCTTTCTTCATTTATTACGTGTTGTATCTGTGTTATCATGAATGTAATATATGTATTTTTTTTGGGTAAAAGAATGTAATATATGTCTAAATGCAAATAAAGGTACTCCTGTTCCACCCTGAACCAGAGTCATCAGATTTTCGGCTGCAACTTGGGTGGTTTAACATGTCTTTCCTGGGTTAGAAATGTCAGTAGGGGTTGCTAACATAAAAATCTGGACTCTGGGTCAAAAATGGTTGTCCACTGAGAAAATGGGATTTGCTCCTCACAGAGTGCACCTAACAGCACATTGTAGCCCTTCATTGTAAACATCTCATCTTTGTGAGGAGCAAAATCCGGATTCCAAATCATGATTGGAATTTTAGGTGGCCCCATGTACACGGAGTTGACGTGCCATATCATGATTGGGACTATTGGCCCAATATTGTAGAATTTTAGATTTGAGCTCCCAACGGACTCTATAAGCAAGTTAATAAGTTAACAACAAACATCACTTAATGACATCTCCTTTTGTTCCTGCTACCCCCTAAATAATCCGCATAAGACTTGATAATACAATCCTATCTAAGATATGATCCACAATAAGTTCTAAATTAATCCTTCTTTTTTTGTTACCAAATTATAATCATTTTTATGACCAGAATTACACCAACTGGAAGTGAGCATGCCTCCAAAATAATTCAGTACTTGCAGAAACAGTTGACACATTTGGAATTGAATATGCTTTCTTAGGCAAGAGACATACAAAAAGAAGCTAGGAGACAAACCAAACAGTGCCCCATCTAGGCTTCTTTTTCTAGTGTTATAGTAATACAGTCCACAGTGGGCACACACTACCAGCCAACCGTCTGATACTTAGCTAGGCATGCATGACCCACTCCTGTGATTTATGATTTATTTCAGTTTTGCGAGACCCCTCATTCACCTACATTAGCCCATGACCGATGAAATCACGAACAGAACTGTCCACCGGTGTTCTTTAACCGTGGTTGACACAGATGGTCAGACCATTCAGTACGGAAATTATCTAGGCAATCGATTCCATTTCACCCTTAACCCAGTTTTTGACCAAAAAACATTGATGTGGTCAACAATCCACTGTCCCGGGTGGTCAATTATCAACCCGTTCAATAGTTTTTGACTATTTTTTATTTTTTAAGTTAAAATGAGCCCTCTTCTCAAACTAGATGGTCGAACCATTGACCCAAAAACAGTGGCCAGAATGGCTCCGGTTCTGGGTCGTTTTTTAAAACCTTGCCGTGCATGGCCCACTTCTGACTTCTGAGCTCTAATTCATGTTCTCCATGGTCCAACCGCACAGTTCAAGTGGACAGCCCATTCTGATTAAAAATAAATAAATAATTTAAAATACATCAACAGTTCAACCACTCAAGTCAGCAGATCGCTAACCAAATCAACAATTTTTTACCCAAACGCGGTTTTAGGGTAAAACAGAACTGATTACCTGACCAGTTCCAGGTCAACCAGTCCAACCATCCAATCCGGTCTGGTTTTCAAAACCATGCCTTTCCGAATGAGGCTAGGGCTAAGCTAGTTTCATCATGCCTGGGCTATTTTTCAGGTATGCGCTTCACAAACTGCTGAAGTGGATGAAAACCTCGAGTGTCGGATATTTATTGCAGTTTTTTTTTCCGCTATAACAGTTAATAAGCTCCACGGATTAAAATATCAATACTTCCAATATAGTCAATGTTGGGTATCTATGCATATCAATATGACCGATACTTCTTTTTTTTTTTTTACTTTTTTATTATATAACATTAGAAAATCCTCACAAGTCATGAATTGTTTTAAAACTTTTAAAAAATGTATCCAAACATAAACATCATATCAATACTTTAATCCTTGGCTCCAAATAAATGCCATAAATTTACAATTTGCGAGGAAAGAATGTCAGAGGCAACTTGATAAACATAAATGCAACAATGGTGGTAGCATGAGAACAATGCTCAAAATGACCTGTTCACGAGGATTGAATTCAAACAGTTATAGATTAATCCACAGAAATGAGTGGTCTAACATGCATCATCCCTCGCTTGTGCCCCCTGCCCATCTGTAATACTTCATAGAAGAAAACATTAGAAGATGTTTAGACCAAAATATGTACATGATTTGCAGAAAACATTAATCCCCTCTGTCCATGCATTTCTTGAGATATAAAAACATGGGAGAATAAGCAGCAAATCCAGATATAGATGTGGATGTGGTGTCAATATTTTTGCCATATACTATCAGAACTTCCCATTAGCCCACCTAAAATAGATAGAAACAGAAGTTTCAATCATCGAAGCACATTATCTCTCAACAGCTTGCTTGATATGTGGGAACCGTGGAGCCCAACGAGCATATCCTGCACATGGGTGAAATGCATAGACGGGTTATTTGAATCAAATCCATCCATAGCGGACTTCTCCAACACTTGGATTCAACAAGGACCAAAAATCAAATTGAATTACACACCTGCAGTAACAATCTCGTGGAGATCAATTTCTGCTTTAGCATCAGCAGACATCTCCTGCATTGAATTTGGAAGAGGTAGAACCTGTCAGGAAAATGGAAATTTTTCCACCAGAGAATGGACTATGGTACCTAATTTACAGACTATGGCACATAATGGGCTAAACTTAAAAGTCACTCAGAAGTGCTTTCTCCAGAAATTCCATATTTCCATCAAAGAATATAATGATGTTACACATCAGCCACCCAAATCAATTACTCAAAAAACACCAAGAATTGGACCACCTCCGCAAGCATGCTAATACATGCTAATACTCAAAAAACACAAGTCAATTCTGAGTGCAAACTCAGATTTATCCATCCATTTTAACCAGCAAGAAGGGCTATGAGAGCATGGGCAAGTTTACCTGTCCACATGTAGCCAAACTTCTCGCTATGAGCCGTGACAAACCACTAAGAGTGTGGTTTTCAAAGCCAGGCTGCTTTAGAATCACCTCCTCTGATGTTGAATCAAAGATAAGAGAACAAATGCTTGAAGCCATCATTATAATAGATGGATCGTCAGTGTCATCTGGAAACCATGTTCAGGAAGTTAAATCAAAGGTAGAACTTATAAGTAACTCTTCTGCAAAAGGATAATAATGATAGTAATGATAATAGTGAAGTAAAAAACTGTAGAATTACTAGCTAAAAAAGCACAGTATCATTTTATTCCTACATGAAAGCAAAGCCACCTGCTATTTACAAGGAGAATTCACGAGAGAGGGAGGAGGGGGAGGGAGGGAAAGAGGGAAGTTACTTGCCCTGATGCCTACATCTAGAAATATATACCAAGAGTTGTGATATACCACAAGTCCACACTTGAATGCTGTTAGAGCCTCTGATGCCCAGATACAGATATTAACATGGATATAGATGGGATCAAGGATATGACTCTCATTTCCTAAAATCCTGGACAGGGATATAGATACAGGTACCCCATATAATATGCTTGTATCATTCTTTCACATCTAGCTTTTGATTTTAAGTACCATTTCATGTCTTGCCAAATTTAATTAAATTTCGAAGATACAGAGATTCTTTTATAGCATGATTTTGTTAAAACATTCCGTTTTATTTGACACATTTTAAAAGTATTTATAGTGTATCTGGAATCTTCCACACAGCATCCAATGTCATATCAGGTATGTTTCATAGCAGTTGGCTGCTATGAAGAGATGCACCGAGTTGGAGGTGGAAGGGGATTGTCAGACCATAATTTCTTGGATGAAGACTGGCATTGAGATGCCTTGGGAATTGAGGCCATTGGTGAGACAGGCTTTAGACTAGGCAGCAATTTGAACAGCGCATTCAAATGGGTGCCTAAATGTGCTAACAGCTTGGCTGATGCCTTGGCCAAATCTGTGCTGTCAAGGAAAGTCTGGAATGGGGTGAACCAGGGCCAGGAATTACTGTTGTAAATCAACTGTTATAAAGCCGAGTCAGACTGGCTTGTACTCTATTGGCCTGCTACTCTTTTTTGGATAGTATGGAGATCTTTAATGAAATATTCATGGTTATTTTTCCAAAAATGTGTTCCATGTTAGTGTCCTGTACAGGTATGCAGGTGTCATATTTATAGGTTAAAGCATCTCTCCATTCACTGGGCAACCAGCTAAGCAGGCAATATAGACAAACATTTTATGGGGACAAAAAGTAATTATGCTCCTTATGTTATTGTTCCAAGTGTGCATACCCTGTTTTGGGTTGATATAAGCGTATGCAGACTAAAAATTAGGCATCTTTTTTTTTTTCTGATAGGTAACTGAAATGCTTTGTTACATTTTGTAGAGTCAAGTTGTTACAAAGTTAGGCATCTTATTCCCTCAGTGTTTGTGTGCACGTGTGCATGTTACTTTTTTTATTAGTAACAGATCAAGAAATTTTGTTAATTCTGTAAAATGATTAGTATTTACAAACGCCAAGCACTCTCAGCTTGGTCTGGCCATAACCACCCACACACCCACCATAAGGACTTCTCCTTTTTCTCTTCCTTTCTGTCTACCCCTTGTTATGTCATTGCATCTGCAAACTCATCGGAAGATCCATGAACCCAATTTACATTGATGACCATCTCTCTTTTCAACCCATTTCTGTAATCCCAAGGCAAGTATGGCATTACAATAGTAAAGATGTTTCAGTTTAGAACAAATAATTTTTCTAAGAGATGATATTCTCAACTTCATGCATGAACTAGATGAAAGTTCCCAAAACAAATCCTACAACCATTTAGCTGCAACTAAGGATTAAATTTTTTGATATTACAATGAATCTTAGCAGCTTCAACAAGATAAGATGTGGAAACACATTGAAATGCAAACCCACCTGAAAATGACAAAAAAAGATACACAAGGAAAAGGTGAAGATGCACAAGAAAATACAAAGGGAAAAAATCTTTTCTTAATGCATAGATGAGCTAAATATATATGGTGGATGTAAAAGAAAACAGTTATAATTTATCTCTGCTATACGCAACCATATGTCCTGCTGAAAGTTTATGTTAAGTTGAAACACATTAAAGGTTGTTGATTCAATTCTTAAAATTTTAAAAATCCATGTAAAAATTAGCTGTTTTATAGACTTAAAGCAGATGCCATTGCTTGGGGTAATCGTAAAATCTCAGGCTGACATGCATGAGGACATGGGTTCAAGTTTGAAAGTGTAGCTACTGTGTAAAAAGATTAGGTCCATATCCATTGATCCAAAAAAAGGTCCAGTCCACCCCACCCAAGACCCCAGATAGCTAGGGCTAACATGGAGTTACATAAATCTGTAAATTCCATTCTAAAACATATAGTTTTATATAATTATCTATAAGATAATATTACATGTTGAAAGAACCAACAAAAATGTTTTGCAATGTTTGCAGGTCATCCCCATTATATCTAGCACCTTCTATAATTGTCCTTTGGGAATTTTTTGAATCTGTAATGGTGTATTTGAGCCTTCCCCAAAGAATGGATTTTGGGGGTTTTTCTCTTGTACTATTATCTCAAATTTAATAAATTACCTTACCTTTTTCAAAAAGTAATTATCATTTCTTATTTATTAGATTTTTATTTTAACTCTTATACTCCCCAAAATATAAAAGAATCTATGAAATTGTAATTATAAATAATACAATACCAAAAAGAACAATGTTACCCTCTAACAATAAATTGCAGTCCTTTCAGAAATTACTTTAAAAATTTTCAAATTCTTGTAGTTGATTATCCTAGTTCTTAAAAATACAAATTATGTAAAAAATATAATTTAATTTTCAGAAGTACCAGTCTATGAAAGCTTTAGATTCTCATTAATTTGACAGGTTTTTCGGTTTTCATGAACAACAAACCATTTTCTAGGCAGATCCCTTACATAACTAGTATACTTCAAGAAATTAAAGATACTCAACATAAGTATGTAGTGCCACTCACACTCATATATGCTTACAGTGTATCTCATAAATAAAATTGCCTTCCTTTTTTCTTAGAAAAACAAAAAAAAAAAAATGCCACTCATAACCCTTTATTATTTATTGTCTTTAAATATTCCATGTGAGTAAAACCCATAAAGTTGTATTGCATTGGTTCTATCTTATCTAGCATAATGGTGAAAAATAATTCTTTGCCGCAATGTGCTGATACATTTATTGGAAAATCAAACTTGTCATTGCATCGTGCAGTTGGACCAATAGGAAGCTGGACTAAAAGATACCTGCCCAAGATGCCAATGCTCTTAAAAGATGAGCAGAACTAGATGCATCCAATTGAACTCCAATTTCCTCTCTCTGAAAACAGAAAGAGGGGAAGAGAAGGCCATTAGGAGACCATACAAAATATAAAGACATGCAACTTAGTGCAAGCCTAATGCTAAAGTGTACAAATCACGATAGAAGTACCTTCAATAAAAAATTCATGATGGTATCACAAGCCAAGAATATGGTAGCATCATCATCCATCATTGGACTATTAGCATCAATCAATTTCACAAGGCACTCGACAACCTGTTAAATAAAATAATTCAATATTTCTATATTTACCAAAATATTTATGCAAAGAATAAGTTCGGTTTACATGCAAGGCAATTGCTTATTCAGTTTCATCAAATTGTAATTTGCCCTAAACATCATTAAAAATGAGGAAAGCGAATATGATGTAGCACTAAAAGAAAACCAAGAAACTCCAATGGAACCCCTTAATAAACCTCATCCTATTAAAATGAAATGATAACTAAAGGTAAGAAACAGTGACAATAAATCATTGTATAAGTGATTTTTTTGTTAACTTACGGCTTTATGTCCTCCAACTGAAGCCAAGACCTTACATCCTTGACTTTTCATTGTTATTTGGCACAGCATTGGAAGCAAAAAGCGTACAGAGTAAAATGGCCTATCATTAAAACAACAAAATCAAACCAAATGGTCCAAACACTGTGTATGTATATACATGTTAAACACACACTGTGAATCATTTAAACAGAACATAAAAAAGATGATCAAGAAAACCTTTGTTCCTCTTCACCTTCAATCGAGAGAATATATGGTAGAAGTTCCCGAACTTTTTCCTTGCAGGCAGAGGGTGCTTCTGCCAGATAGCTGAAACGAAAATTCGTTATTAAAACTCATTCAAGAATCTATTCTAAAATAAGTTAAAATTAATGTTGAGTTGATGATTGTGGTGGAACAAAGTTTTATAAATGGGAATGAGAAAAAAAATAAAAGAGTAACTCTTTCACCTATGACAATAGGTGGATTGTTGTACAGATGAATGAAAAATTTTTGTTCTTCACAAAGAAATACAACTAAGGGCCAATGCACAGTAAAGCCATTAATGAGAAAGGTTCCTACTCTGGATCTAGATGTCATACACAGTAAAAGCTTGCACTATCTTGTAAAGAACTTCTACTTAAAATATGCATTATTCTTCCTCTGAGAATCCAGAAAGCTATGTAAATGCAATGCACTTCCCTCCAGTTCTCCAGGGCTCTTTTAACATAAGATGTTTTATTTTACCTATATGGGTGTCATCATTCAAAACACATTACTTTAACTATCGATGATACATAATTAGTTTTATCTCCTACACTGGATATCAACTGCCAAGTGAAATCTATGAATCAGAACTGTAATTTATACTTAAGGTAAGGACTATTGCAGTATATTTATTCAAATATAGCAATTATATGGATGTCATTCTTTGCAAAAAGGAAATACTGCCATGAATTGTTGAAATATCTAAATGTATTTTATTGCCAAAAACAAGAGAAGATGCACCTATCTTTTCTTTTTTGTGCTCATGGAGAATAAGGATGTATTTTTCTATGTTCTTTACATATATCCCATTACTTATTGAAAGACACAAGAACATTCCCAGAGATGTGTTAAAAGGAAAAATGAAGAAAATCTTGGCGGTGGAATTATAAAGGTCAATACACCATCAATAGCAAAAGGTCCTATTCCAAGGTTTGGCAGGGGTCTAGAGAAATAAGCCAGTGACCTAGAGGGTGTATGTTCAAATTGGACTCAAAAAAGGCTTATGGTAAGGTGGATAGAAATTTATTGCTCCATATCCTGAGACATGGAGACCTTGGTGAGAAGCAGTGCAAATTTTCAACAGGAATTGAAATAAGGATATCTCTTCTCCCTCTCCTATCACCTTTGTGGATGACATTTTTAGCTATCTTATATTTCAGGTTAAACCAGTTGGAATTTTGACAGGTTTTGAAACAGACAAGGGTTTCACATTTCCAGTTTGCAGACAACATGCTTTTTTGTTTAAAAAGTGTTGGAGAGGAAATTTGAGTTGGAAGAAATAAAAGAGGCAGTATTTTCAATGGATAGATCAAAGGCACCGAGCCCAGATGGTTTTACGATGGCTTTCTACCAGGATTGTTGGGAGATTCTAAAGGAGGATATATTGTTGGTATTTGATGAATTCCATACCAAATGAGTGATTAACCCTAGGTTAAATTCCACATTCATTGCTTTAGTTCCCAAGAAAAGTGATGCAAGCCATCCAAAGGACTACAGGCCGATCAGTCTAGTTAGCAGCCTCTATAAGATCATCACTAAGGTGCTGTCAATTAGAATCAGAAGGGTGCTACCAACTATCATCTCGAACAATCAAGGAGCTTTTGTTAGAGGGAGACAAATAACAGATCGAATTCTTGTAGCAAGTGAGAGTTTAGAGGACTACAAGAGATCTAGGAGAAGAGGTGTGGTCTGCAAACTAGATCTGGAAAAGGCTTATGATATGGTTGATTGGTCCTTCTTAGTGGAGGTGATGATGAAATTTGGGTTTGGAGACATCTGGTGCAAATGGGTGATGGGATGCATTAGGGATTGTCATTATTCTATCTTGGTGNTTGGGTTTGGAGACATCTGGTGCAAATGGGTGATGGGATGCATTAGGGATTGTCATTATTCTATCTTGGTGAACGGGACAGTGGTGGACTATTTCCCAGCTTTGAGGGGGATTAGACAAGGAGACCCCCTATCCCCCTTCTTGTTTACATTGGTAGCTAAAGTGCTGGGGGGATTGACATCCAAAGCAGATTCCAAGGAGCTCATAAAAGGGTGGAGAGTTGGAAGGGATAAGGTACCACTTACACATCTACAATTTGCAGATGATACAATTCTGTTTTGTGAAGGAGGGGATATCAATCGGATTAAAAATCTGAAACTCTCTATACAGCTCTTTGAACAGATGTCAAATCTTAGGGTGAACTTTGAAAAAAGTTGTATAGTTGGAGTCGATATGGGGGAAAGGAAGATTGGGGAGTATGCAGATATGTTGGGATGTGTAGTGTCTAACTGGCCATTAACCTACCTAGGCTTACCTTTGGGGAATAATCCTCAGGGAGATGATTTCTAGGCCCCTGTTGTGGAGAGATTTGAAAAGAGACTTGCCAATTGGAAAAGAAATTATTTGTCTCTTGGAGGGAGAATCACCTTAATTAGATCTACGTTGGCTAACCTTCCTGTATATTTTATGTTAGTTTTTAGGATACCGATGAAGGTGGCTAATAGATTGGAAAAGCTAATGAGGGATTTTCTATGGGAGCCGGGGGAGGAGAAAAGGGACCATAGGGTAAAGTGGGAGTAGTCTGTAGAGGTAAAAAGGAAGGAGGGTTGGGTATTGGTAATATTAGGATTAGGAATCTTGCATTACTAGGGAAATGGTTGTGGAGATTCTCATTGGAGAAAGAAAGGTTGTGGGTTAAGGTGGTGGGAAGTATACATGGACTGGCAAATAATGGATGGGACTCAAGAATTCTAGCACGGGCTACAAGAGCTTCCCCTTGGAGAGATATTCAAGCCATCTTGCCTTTATTTTCTCCATGGATCAGGTACAACTTGCATTCTGGTAACCTTATCAAATTTTGGGAACATGTTTGGGTTGGGGATTCCCCTTTGAAAGATCAATTTCCAGGCCTTTTTTCTATGTCTTCCCTTAAGAATGAACCAATTTCATCCTTTCTTGTTCCTTCCAATTCACCTTCTAGGTTTGGTTGGAATTTAAGTTTGAGAAGAGGTGTTAGGGACACAGAGTTTGCCTGTACTATAGCCTTACTATCTATCCTTGAAGGAGTATTCATTGAGCCGTCTAAAGCAGAATCTGGAAACTCACTCCCTCGGGTTCCTACACTTGTGCCTCCTTTTTCAAAGCATTGTTACCCTCTCATCCTGTTGGTTCCTCTTTTCCTATTAAAGAAGTGTGGTGTCGACCTATACCTCCTAAGGTTGGGAGTTTTTGTTGGGAAGCCTTACAAAAACTCCCAACCTTAGGAGGTATAGGTCGACACCACACTTCTTTAATAGGAAAAGACCCAACAGTTGCTTGTCTCCTCATTGGTGTGTTCTCTGTAAGTCTGATGGTGAGTATGGATATCATTTACTAATATATTGTCAGTTTGTTAAAGCTATTTGGGTATGGTTTACTTCTCTGTTTGGATGCAGGTAGACTCCCCCTTTGAATGCTCCAAGCTTGTTTTCTTCCATGCCTAATTGGCCAACTAAAAGGGCTAAAATCATGTGGAGGTGTGGTAGAGCTGTAGTCTATTGGACAGTGTGGGAGGAGAGGAACTCAAGGATCTTCTCAAATAAAGAGAGAAGTGCGGAAGAAATCATGGAGATCATCCACATTAGGATGGTACAATGGTTGAGAACATTGGAGCTGTTCAAAGTGTTCTCAGTTGATGAGCTGTTAAGGAATTGGAAGGAGATTGCAGATTCAGGTTTATGTAGAAAGATATTAAAAGTGTGCTGGACTCCTCCACCCCTTGGGTTCACTAAACTGAACTTTGATGGCAGCAGCATAGGCAACCCTAGGCCTTCCGGAATTGGGGGTGTGATAAGGGATGAAACAAGGAACTTGTTAGCCTTGTACTCTGGGCCGATTGGGGTGGGTGACTCTTTGAGGGCTGAGATTATAGGAGCTATTGAAGGAATGCAAAAGGTCAAGGAAATGAATATCAAAAAGGTGGTTATAGAATGTGATTCTGAAACAGTGGTGGAATGGCTAAAAGAGGGCAGTGCTATGATGTGGAAATACAGCAATGAAAAGAGGAAGTATAAGTGGTTAACCAAGGACATGGAAATTCAATGTACATGGATAAAGAGAAGTGCAAATGCATTGGCTGATGGTCTAGCTAGGCAAGGGGTAAATAGAGATACATTATTTTGGGCTGTTTTGTAATCACTGCATGGTCAGAAAGTTTCTTGGGTAGCTGGAGTTTAAGACTTTTTAGCTCCATCCCTTTGTAAACCTGATTTTTATTATTAATAAAATTTCACTGTTACTGATCAAAAAAAAAAAAACTTATTAGCTGAACTGATTAGAACATTGTATCATTTTTTTATGGATGATTATAACACTGTATCATTAACATCAAAGGTTGTAGACTTTTAGGGATGACAATTTTCCCCATCCCTGACGGGGACCCGACTTCCCCGACCCAATGGGGTCGGGATTGGGGTCGGGGTCGGGGTCGGGGATGGGGATTGAGGTCCCCGACCCCAATTATGTATGTATATATATTGAATATATATTATTATATTATTTATAATATATATATATCAAAATATATATATATATATACATATTAAATATATATTATTATATTATATTATATATATATATATCAAAATATATTTAAAACATTATTTATAATTTAAATTTTTTATTTATTTTAAGTAAATTTACTTTTCAAAAAAAAATACTGTTATCTAAAAAAATTTGGGGATTCGGGTCCCAACGGGGAACCCATCCCCGTCGGGGATTGGGAATGGAGAACAAATTTTATCCCTGGCAGGGATCAAGGATGGGGTGGGGGTTAATTTCAGAATCGGAGTCGGGGATGGGGAATATGATCCCCGCCCCATTGTCATTCCTATAGAATTCACATTCAAATCCTAGATAGGCTAAATTGTTTAAACTCTAAACATCACATGTACAAACATAAAGTACAGTCAATTACCTATTCCCTTTGTTGGTTATTCAATCTAAACCCAGTGTTTTAAATCATGATATGACCCAGAAATTTGACACGTAGTTCACAGACTTACAGCAGCGTTCACACACTCGAACATCAACAAAAGAATCTAGTATTCATTCAGCAGAAAACATTAACAGTTGGTCGGTTCTTCGAGAGACCGCCGGCTCTCCCAAACACTCACAATATTCTTTACTCAAAGAAAACATACCACCCCCATCCCCCAAAGC